CACAGGGTATAGCATCCCTAGATGTGCGTTGCTGGAGAAACCCAGGGCTGTGTCTGAGGCTTGGGGACAGGTGCGTCCAAGAAATGCTGCCCTCTCAGAGGATACAATAGGTTGTAAAAAAAAAAAAAAAAAAAAAGAGAGAGAGAAAAGAAAAAAAAGAAATGCCGCTCTCACAAGGCCTACGGCACATTCCACACCGCCCACAAAAGCCAGTGGGAAGAGAGAGTAAAGGGAAGCTCCTTGCAGAGATCTCAATGTCTGGACAGACACTTGAGCTACCAGGGAGCCCTAGAGGGAGCCAAACTAGACGTTGGGTCAGGAAGACAGGGAATGTCCAGAGCATCCAAGACGTTCATCTTGTATTGGTTCATTTCTGCCCAGTGTTCTGTACCGGTACCTGTGCTGTTCCTGGGGATTCAGAGATAAATTAAGTCTCCCTTCAGGGGTAGGGGAGAAGGGACCAGCAAATCTATAACTACTGTGCAAAGAAATGAGGGTTGTGCCAGGAGCTCAGAGACAGTTCATAAGCCCGCTGGCTGCAGGGCCTTGACAGGGGTTAGTAGGAACTGGAGTGACAGGCAAGAAGTGAGCAAGTTTCATTCCAGGCAGAGAACAGATTTCCAAAGATTTGATGACCAGAAAGTACCTGCAGTGGGCGGAAGCCAAAGGTGGGGCTGGATGAGTGGGCAGAATGCTGCAGGCCACTGCCAAGTGTCTGGACTTTATCCTGACGGCAGTAGGGAGCAGTGGAAGGACTTAGAGCAGGGGATTTACATGGTCAGAATTCTGGATGGATCACTGGATTCAACTGGGACAGGGGTGAATGAAGTTAGAGGAAGAAGATAACAGTGGTCAAGGAGAGGGAACAACTGGCATCAGATGGGTGGAATATCCTTCCTGGTAACCTGTCCTGCAAATCTCCAACCTTGAGGGCCTCAGTGTGGAACTTGGGGCCCAAATGCAACATCAGCTCTGGAGCCGTCTGCCTCAGGCAGGCTGCTGGTCCACCTATTTGTACCACATATACCAGGATCCTGATACAGTATAAGGTCCCAGAGGCTTGGCCAGCTCATCTGAAGTCCTTTCAGACATGACTTCACCTAAACCATGGGATCAGCCATAGTCAGACCAGATGGCAGGCAGGAGGGAGACCTTGGGCTGGTCAGCCCCTCCACTGGGAAGGGACCACAGAGAAGCTGTAGATGGCTTGAAAAATTCAACCACGCATCAAATGCTCAGCTATGCATCTATGTTCCCAGTCACTGAGCACCTGGAGAACACTTAGAACAGGTTACATTGCAGGGAGGGTTTCTGATCTGGGGTAAACTGAGAAGCTACCAAGGAATGGTGAGGGCTGGGACATGGATGGGCACCAACTGCAGGAAGGGAGTCACCATGTGTGTAAGAAAGTCAGCAATGGCTGGGAACTCTGCAGCCTGTGAAGGGGCCTGACCACACACACCGATATGTACATACTCTTTCAGCCTTTGCCCCAGCTAGGGCCAGGACGTCCCCCCATGAGCTCTTCCTCAGGCAGTTCCAAAGCTCCTGCAGGTCATCTGGGCCCAGCTCCAGCCCTCTGGGAGCCCTGTGAGACCAGGAGGCCCACAGGACCAGCGCAGCAGGTGGAACCCCAGGGTGGACAAGGGCTATGTGGGTCACTGTGCAACCACTCTCTCCTGTATGAATGCCACCCAAGACTGGGAATTAGGGAAAGCCATCTTTATTATCAGCTGTCACAGGACTGGCCCTAAGCACCCATTGTTGAAGTTCTTCAGTGCCCTCTAAGCCATGGGATGACACAGTTTAGCCTACCCCAGTCCCTTGTTCCCCATTAGGCAAAACAGGAGCCTCTGAGGAAATTCAGAGTTTAGAAAAGTCCTTCCTCTCCATGCCAAACATCCCCCTTGTCCCAAGCTCTTGTTTGATTCTTCTGTGCCTGCTCCCCAGACCCATGCCAAGGTAGCCACAGGGGACACAAGGACTGCCCTTGAGCAGCTCCCAATCTGGGAGGAGAGGATAAGACCAGCCAACTACAACCTCAGAAAGTTAGTTGCTGAAGTCAGCACAGGGTGCTGAGAAGACAGGGTCAGCACTTTGTCCTCAAATGCTAGGCTGAGGAGTTTGGACTTGGTCCAGAGAGCAGACTTAAGAGACCCATGGAAGAGTTCTGAGCAGAGTAACACCTGGAAGGACCCAAGTGTCTGGAACTGCAGGTAGAAGAGATTCTTTGCACACAGCCCAGTCTTCCTGCTGTGGCCTTTGAGAGACCGGCCACTCTCTCCAGCCTTACTCATCCCTTCCTCTCATGCTCATACCAAAACCATTTGTCCCCCAAATGTGATGAGCTAAGGGGAAATCCTCAATCAGGCTGGCTGGAATGGATGGATGTTGTGCTGTGGCTACTAGCCCAGGGAGAGGTTTGGGAATCTAAGTGGCCTAGTTTAAGGTGGACATGGTGAGAACAATGGGCAGAGCTTTCAGGCCTAACTGCGCCCGTCAGTCCCATCCTTGGGCAGGTCACTTTGAGACCAGGAAAGGCAACACTGAGGTGTGCTAAAGTGAGATCATTTGAGGACCAACGTATTCAACCAGGATCTCTGCCACATCCTCAGTCACAGAATATATACTAGACCCGCCCCACCTTCCTCCCCTGTGAAGGATCCTCTCCCCAGTGCTTCCCAGGTCCCTCAAAGGCCCCACATTCCAGCCTCTATCTTAATAGCAGACCTACATAGAGCCCAGAAATGAACCTGACCCTGCCAGCGGAGGGGCTTCCCCAGGCTTCCATACTGGTGGCAGAAGTGGCCTGAGATCAAAGCCCAGTCCCACTGGAAGGTAGATCTTAGGACTCAGTGACTTAGTGGGGTAGGGGACCACTGCAGCCTCTGTCTAACCAGTTCCAGTTGGAGTATAAGAAAAGGCAAAGGGGACATTTTTGTTTTTTGTTGTTGTTTTTTGAGACAGGGTCTTGCTCTGTCGCCTAGGCTGAAACACAGTGGTGCCATCACAGCTCACTGCAGCTTCAACCTCCTGGGCTCAAGTGATCCACCCACCTCAGCCTCCTGATAGCTAGGACTGTAGGCACATGCCACCACACCTGACTTTTTTTTTTTTGAGACGGAGTCTCGCTTTGTCACCCAGACTGGAGTGCAGTGAGGTGATCTTGGCTTACTGCAAGGTCCACCTCCCAGGTTCATGCCATTCTCCTGCCTCAGTCTCCCAAGTACCTGGGACTACAGGTGCCCGCCACCATGCCCGGCTAATTTTTTGTATTTTTAGTAGAGACGGGGTTTCACCGTGTTAGCCAGGATGGTCTCGATCTCCTGACCTCGTGATCCCCCCCATCTCGGCCACCCACAGTGCTAGGATTACAGGCGTGAGCCACCGCACCCGGCCACACCCAGCTAATTTTTATATTTTTTGTAGACAGGGTTTTGGCACATTGCCCAGCAGGCTAGTCTTGAACTCCTGAGCTCAAGTGATCTGCCCACCTCGGACTCCCAAAGTGCTAGGATTACAGTGTGAGCCACCATGCCCAGCCAAAAGAGGCATTTTGATTGAGATTGTTTTTAGTACGAAAAATCAGAAGTAGGCCAGGTGCAGTAGCTCATGCCTGTAATCCCAGCACTTTGGGAGGGCGAAGTGGGAGGATTGCTCGAGGCCAAGGGTTCAAGATCAACCTGGCCAACATAGCAAGACCCTATCTCAATTTAAAAAAAAAACAAAAAGAAGAAAAATCAGAAATTGTGCCTAAAGCTTGGTGGCTGAGACTGGACCAAGCCTCAGTCTTTCTCCTGAGTAGAGCCCTTTCTCTGGGAGCACTGGTCTGGGAAGTCAGTTAGGGCAGCCTGGCATGGAGTGACCCCATTAGCCACAGAGTCCTATCAAAGGGCCAGCCTATTGTCCTCCAGCCAGCCTCACACAGGCAGAGGACAGTTGATCCCCTCTAAGAGGAGGGCCCTCAGGACAGAGAGGACTAGCAGTGAGTTGCCCAAGGTCAAAGAGCAATGGGCTCTGGGAGGCAGTGGGTAGTGCGGTATCCTTATCTGCATACAGAAAAGCAAATGTGGGTGGCAGGGGGGAGGAGGGCAGTGCTGGAACTGAGACAGAGGCCTCACCCACCAAACCCTAGACTCAGAGGCCAGCAGGGCCAGGGGCTGCTGGCTGGCACAGGTGCCTGACCCTGTGTTAAAGTTGCCACAAAACAGTGAGGCTCTGACACAGGGGAGATGTGGGAAATACAGCTTTGACCCAGAAGGGAATCCTCCCCGCCCCACCACCCCAAAAGAGCCTGGAAAAACGTAGGAGAAGCAGCATGTTTACAGCTGAGGAAGCGGGGGCAGGACAGGGCAGGGACCTTTGGTCAGAACGCCCCTCCCAGTAAGCGGGGGAGGCCCCATGAGATGCGGTAGCCGTTTGTTTGCTTCTCACTGCCAGGAGGAAATTAAAGAGAATCTGCCACTTCCTTCCGCCCCAAGTGGGATGAGGAAGGCGGGGGACGGGAGGGACTGTGTGGTGTGATCTGCCAAACATAAGGGCCCCAAATTGCTGTCATCAGCCGCCTCCAGTGCCCCACTGCCCAGAGCAGGAACTTCATCAGGTCTGAGGCTCCAGGCAGCTGTCAGGCTTGAAGGAGACTCCGGGGATCAGACCAACAGTCCCCACCCCACTGGACTAGTCCCTTACTGGGGTACCAGTTACCCTAGTCCTTCTTCCAGATTTCATATCACCTCTCATCAGAACAGACAATTGATGTCCAGTGCGGCAGGTATACCATCAGTAAAATGGGCTTCTTGGGCCTTTCTAACTTGGCCCAAGTCCAGTGATACCCCATTCCCCACCTCTACCAGAACCACAGAGATGGGCAGGAGATTCACTTTGGGAATCTCTAGCTCTACTCATGAGAAAGACTGAGGCTTGGTCCAGTCTCAGCCACCAAGCTTTAGATTGGTGCACAGAGGGTGGGAGTAGAATAATCATGCCAGGACACAAGCCCATTTATGAAGATGCCCAAGGCTGAAGCAGCCAGCCATGGGTGAGGGTAGGGGGTGTCTTTATTGCACAGTACCAATGTCAGGTTGGGGAGGTACCACCTGAAAAGCTCCTGTTTGCAAAGAGAATTTGACCCTGTCACTCAGATCCACCAAAGGGGCCAGGATCCACCCTTGGGTGGCCCCTGGTCCATGCTCTAGGCTGATGGCCCCTGCCAGGACATCTAACTCCTGCCAGGCAAGACCAGCATCTGGTTCATGCTGTGGCATCCACAGCCACCTTAGCACCAGGCCCATGGAGGGGGTGACTAGGGCAGGAAGAGTAGTCACCAGCCTTCCAGAGGGCTCTCTTCACCACTTCCTAAGGCCACAAAGGGCTTCTTGCACAGCTCCCCAGGTTGTGCTAGCTCCTGAGCTCTGGGGCCCCCAGGGTCTTGGTCAGGAGCCTCCCTCTTTCGCTTGTGCAAGGAAGGGCTCTCCTCACCCAGCCGACCCTCAGGGAGGCCCTGGCTCCGCAGACAGACGATGGCTGCAGCCTGCTCCGCCAGTTTCTTGGACTTGTCCCTGGGCAGACAGAGGACAATAAGGTGGGTGGGCAGGGTGCAGGGCTGTGAGGCCTGACTCTACACACCCTTGGCAGATTCTGACAAAACTGAGTAAGGGGTCACTATCCAGGGATGCCACTGCCCACACACACCATCTACCCAACCTTCCTAGGACATGATAATGCTGGATGCATGGGCAGAATGCCCACTCTCCTCCTCACCCCAAGCCTCCTCTCCTATGATGAGGAAACTTACCACAAGGTAGATTGATACTTTTGTTCAGCAACGGTGACAATAGAGGAGAACAGGCGATCTAGAGGGCGTTGAACCTGGTACAAAGAGAAAAGGAAACACATGGCCAGATAAATGAGCCCTGTAGGCCAACCTGCTGGGGTCAAATCAAAGGCAGATAAAAGGGAGTATTTCCAGCCTAAGTCAAATGAAGGCTGCCTGTATCACATGCTCCTCCCAAGCAGAAGTGCCCAATAGAGAAAGGCAGATGCACAAATACACGATGACCTCAAGTGTCTGGAGCTGTCATGGACCTAAGCAAAGCCCAGCAGAGCCCTTAGCTGCACATGGCTATGGAGCCTCCTGCTGACATCTGGATAGGCCAGGTCCCCAAAATGAGGAGTCACCAGATGCCAAAAGGGTGAGAAGGGATAAGCTAGGAGCAGAGAAGGCACACCTGGAAGAGGGACCAGGTGACTGGCTGGAGCAAAGAGCTGCAGGGATGAAACTGCAAGGAGCGAGGCACGTGGAAGGGTCTCACGCTCTATGCTGAGGTGCTGGCTTGATCCTTCAGACACTGGGGAGCCTCTGACTTGAGGAGACAGAAGTTAGATTTGTTTTGGAAAAGTCACTGTGCTGGGGGTGGGCGGCAGGGTGGGGACACAGACACAACCCCCAGAAGGTATAAGCCTCGAGGCCAGAAGACCAGTCCAGATGAGGCAGAACAGCGTAAGGAAGGCATGGCCACAAGGACCAAAGGAAGTGAAGCAAGCCTATCTCATGGTTTCCACCCCAGGGGCACCACATCTGGAGCCCAATTCTGTGCCCCATTGGCTGAGGCCTCATCCAAAAACATGTCTGGGCCAGGCGTTGTGGCTCACGCCTGTAATCCTAGCACTTTGGGAGGCTGAGGTGGGTGGATCATCTGAGGTCAGGAGTTCGAGACCAGCCTGGTCAACATGGCGAAACCCCATCTCTACTAAAAATACAAAAAAGTTAGCCAGGCGTGCTGGTGTGCACCTGTAATCCCAGCTACTCAGGGGGCTGAGGCAGGAGAATCACTTGAACCTGGAGGTGGAGGTTGCAGTGAGCCAAGATCATGCCACTGCACTCCAGCCTAGGCAACAGAGTGAGACTCTCCAGAAAAAAAAACAGAGTGAGACTCCATCTCAAAAAAAATAAATAAAGAAGAATAATAATAATTAAATAAAAATTTTTTTTAAAGGCTCATGACATAATCCCAGCACTTTGGGAGGCTGAGGAGGGAGGACCACTTGAACACAGGAGTTTGAGACCAGCCTGCCTGGGCAACAAAGCAAGACCCCGTTTCTTTTTTTCGAGACAGACTCGCTCTGCCGCCCAGGCTGGAGTGCAGTAGCATGATCTCAGCTAACGGCAACCTCCGCCTCCCAGGTTTAAGCAGTTCTCTGCCTCAGCCTCCCAAGTAGCTGGGATTATAGGCACCCACCAGCACGCCCAGCTCAGCTATTTTTTTGTATTTTTAGGAGAGACAGGGTTTCACCATCTTGGCCAGGCTGGTCTTGAACTCCTGACCTCATGATCCACCTGCCTCAGCCTCCCAAAGTGCTGGGATTACAGGCGTGAGCCACGGCACCCAGCCAAGACCCCTAAAAAAAAAAAAAAGAAAAAAAAAAAAAAAAAATTAGACCCTCTTTTTAAAAAAAAAAAAAAAAAAAAGAGATGTCTGGCTGAATTGGACAACAGGCCACTGTAAGAGGGGAGGGGCTATCAGCAACTGACCGGGCCACCAGCAGCTTCTCCATGCCTACAGAGAGCAAGGCCAGGCTCCAGCCTGGCAGTCTAGAGTTGAGGGTGTAAACCATGGGAGTGCCATGGCTGGCTGCAGGGCAGGCCACAGCCAGGAACTCACCGTTTCATACACAGGCTGTGCCAACTTCTCCCTCCGGCACCACTCTAGTAGGCACATCTTGGGGGTGATCTGGGCTGGGTATGCTCTCCTGGGGAAAGGAAGGGAAGCAGTTGGGCCTCGCCCACCATCACCACTCCCTCCCTCAGCCAGGGCATTACTCAGCTCCTGATAGGAGCTGCAGAAATGAGAGGAACTGAGACACCGAGCTGCTGCCTTAAGGCTTCTGTGCGTGCTTCCCTAGGCTCCCATTCCTGTCCCACCAGCAGCTTGGACCTGGGTTCTCCCTAAAGGGAAGATGAATTTTGGCATGCTCAGGAAATTGTAGGGGAAAGGGGAATGAACTCCCAGTACTCTGGGGTCCAGCCTGGAAAAACAATCTTCAACATCCAAGAAGGAAGCTTGCCACTCAAGACAAGATCAGTAGGGAGTGGGTGGAGGTGGGCAATGGAGGTGGCCAGACAATGGTCTCGGGGATCTAGCTCAGCACCCACCCTGATTACGCCTGCCAAGTGTCAAGATCATCTGCTGCAGCCATGGACACATGGAATCTGGTTTCAGAGTCAGCCTGTGACAGGGTGACACGGTGACAGGGTGGGAGGGGTCATATTCCAACTTCCCAACTGGAACTCTCCCTGGCATCTGACTGCCCAACATCTATCCCCCCACCACTCCCCCTTCCACCCCTCTGCCAGACAACACTGGCTCCTGTCTGGTCGTGGGGGAATGGAGAAAGGCTCAGATCCCAGAGGAGGGCACCATTCAAAGCTGAGTCACAATTTGAGGCGTAAGCAGCTTGAGAGGGCACCACAGGGGTGGTGAGGGGCACTGGGTGTGGGCAGGGCTGCAGAGCCAAATGAGGGCTAGGGTCCTACTGTTGTTTGAGGAGCTCCATGCAAGCAGCCAGCTTCTCAGGGCCTTGGAAAAGCACAGACTTTCAGGAACAGGAGACAAGTCCCCCCTGCCCTGAGTTGTGGGAGGCGGTGGTAAGTCAGGGAAAAAGTAGAGTTCAGTCACCCTTGGGACAGCCTTTCAGGAACTATCTTCCCTGAAAGCACCTTCTATGGGATGCTGAAAATTTAGAACGAGTTTCCAAACCAAGAAGACCTGTGGCCCCTATGTTTGACATTACATACAGCAGCCAATTTGCTGGCCCATTGGGACCCCAAGGGTGGTGGCCCCAGCCCAAGCTGAGGCCAAGCTGGAGACCTACCGGTCAAACTTGACAGCCATCTTAATGACACCAGAGGTATCTTCAGCTGGCTCCCCTGTCCCCTCTGAAGTCCTGGCTGACAGCTTGGCCCGCTGGGCATCCAGCTCCTGTGTGGTCTCCTCATAGAAGGCACCAAGGCCAAAGGCCTCACTAAAGAGGAAGAAGAAGACCAGGGCAAACACTTTAGCGGAGCCAGCATCCAGGGTACTGCAGGACCCCAGGGCCCCACCACTGAGAAACTCCTCTACCACAAACAACAAAACACCACTGGGGCCTGGCCATCAGAATGTACCTCCTGCCCAGCCCTGGGATTACCCTGGACTGGAAGATGGACAGTGAATGCGAACCCAAGTATGGACACTGGAGGGAGGCTGGACTGGTTGGCAAAGGTTGTAAAGGTCAGCCCCACCACCTGCAGCCTCTCTCCTGAGGGGGAGCACACAGATAGTGTCCCCAGTCAGCCGTGACTGAGTTGACCAATGCTGATCAAGCACATGGGCCCATGGGAGGAAGAGACAGAGGCCTGACCACTAAGTGGTTCCCCACTTCCCGCCCAGCCACAGGCAGTTATTCATGGGTCTCAGCTGACACTGAGGCACCACCCAGAGCTACAGAGTTATGTGGGGTAGGGACTGAACCAATGCCACAAGCCAAGGGTGGGAGGAGGGCTCTGGCAAGAGTTTTTCCCTTCTAGGAAACATCTTGAGGGCCGGAAGACTCAAATGAAGATAAATCCCCAATGGCAAAAGTGGTTCAGAAAGGCATCTATAAAAGACGGAGGCTATAGATAGCTCATGTGAGAAGAAGAGAGCCTTCCAGGCAGAGGACCCATTACAAGCACAGGTGTGGAGGTCTGGAAGCAGACAGGTAGACAGGGAGCTGTGGGGGCAGTGGCTAGGCCAGCTTGTGAAGGGCCTCAACTGTCAACCATCTGAGCTAGAGCTGCGCCTGATCTAGAGAATCAACAGGTGGTCTCTCAAACTGCAGGGTGATGGGGGTGAGTGCAGGCTCAAGGGAGAGGCTCCATGCTACAGCCCAATTCTCCTGAACACTGGTTCCTGGTAGCCTCGCGTGTGACCATCCCATTTATGGGAAACCCCCTTCCTTTGCATTCCTCTATCCTCCTAGTACCCTAGTTCCCAGAGCTCTGCTAATCCGTCCAGGGATGGGACGTTTCAAAGCTTTCAAAGAATCCCCTCTTGGGAGGCAAAGCTATACCATCACTCCACTCCTCTACATCTACATCCAGAAGCTGTGTCCCTGGTCCCCTAGTGGAGTCAGCTTAGGGCTCAAAGTCAAACTTGGGCAATGTGTACAAGGACAGATGGACATCTTATTGTGCCTCTTACCAAATTTCCCGGGAAGACTGGGCAGCATGGAGCAACCTTCCCTGGGGCGACTCCAGCTGTTCTCGTAGCATCTGGCACAAGCAGTACTTGGTGTTGGTGTAGTGGTTGTCATACTGCACCGCCTGAGAGAAGAAATGACTCGCCTGATGCCCAGGCAGGCTCTAAGGCCTGGGCTATGTTCTAATGGCAGGGAAAGGGGCTCCAAGAAGGCACTAGAGATGTATGTGCAGCAAGGCAATGTGACCCCCATAAGAAGAACCACCACTGGCCAGGAGCAGTGGCTCACATCTGTAGGAAGATTGCTTGAGGCTGGGAGTTCAAGAGCAGCCTGGGCAACATAAGACTCAACTCTACAAAAATTTAAAAAAGAAAATTGGCCAGGCGCGGTGGCTCAAGCCTGTAATCCCAGCACTTTGGGAGGCCGAGATGGGCAGATCACGAGGTCGGGAGATCGAAACCATCCTGGCCAACACGGTGAAACCCCATCTCTACTAATAAAAATACAAAAAAAAAAAAAAAAACTAGCCAGGCGAGGTGGCGGGTGCCTGTAGTCCCAGCTACTCAGGAGGCTGAGGGAGGAGAATGGTGTAAACCCGGGAGGCAGAGCTTGCAGTGGGCTGAGATCCAGCCACTGCACTCCAGCCTGGGCGACAGAGCGAGACTCTGTCTCAAAAAAAAAAAAAAAGAAAATTATCGGCTGGGCACAGTGGCCTGTAATCACAGCATATTGGGAGGCCAAGGCAGGCAGATCACCTGAGGTTGGGAGTTTGAGACCAGCCAGACCAACATGGAGAAACCCCATCTCTACTAAAAATACAAAATTAGCCAGGCGTGGTGGCGGGTGCCTGTAATCCCAGCTACTCAGGAGGCTGAGGCAGGAGAATGGCTTGAACCCTGGAGGCAGAGGTTGCGGTGAGCCAATATAGTGCCACTGCACTCCAGCCTGGGCGACAACAGCAAAACTCCGTCTCAAAAAATAAAAATAAAAAATAAAAGAAAATTAGCCAGGCATGTTGGCACACACCTGTAGCCATAGCTACTAGGGAGGCTAAGGCAAGACAATTGCTTGCACCCAGGAGTTGTGGCTATAGTGAGCTATGATCATGCCACTGCACTCCAGTCTGGGCAAGAGTGAGACCCTATCTAAAATAAAAATAAAAAATAAATTAAAAAGCCACTTTGACCTTGGTCATCTACTCCTCCAGCTAGTGATACAAAGCTTGAGGGTCACAGCCAAGGCCCACGGTCAGAAACACACTCTCCTGGACAGCCTGACTGAGGTCTTGAAGTGCGGAAACCCCTTCCTGCTTCAGCCACCACAGAGGACCTACTGCCAAGTATCTTCCAGGGCAGGGAGGGGAAACACACCAAATTCTGGCATGGCAGGTCCAGTGCTGGGAAAGGGGTTGAGGTTCTTCTATTCCTTCTAACCAGAATGGGCACCTTCCCTTCCCACATCTTGAATAGCCTCTAACTTCCCCCTACATGGGTAAAACACAGCATCATTTAGTTCACATGTGTTACTCATCACTACATTTATCTATACAAGTGTGAGGCGCAACTGTTACCATCACTCCACAGACTATGAAATGAAGGCTCAGGGAGGCAAGATGACTGCCAGGGATACCCAGTAGAAGCCGGCTGGCTGGGGGCAAAGCAGGAGAGCAGTAGTGGGTGAAGGTGGCCTTCCCCAGCCCTCCAGGACACCCTCCCATCCCCCACCTCCTATGCTACTCTAGTAACTCCACCTGGGCCTATGACTTCAGTGCCTGGGAAAGTGCCATGGCACGCCCGGGACAAAGTGGGAAGTTGGGGAGCCCCGGCTAGCGGCAAGTCCTCGATTCAGCTTGTCTGGAAAGAAGGCACCTGGCTGTACCAGAAGCAGCCCTGCCTATGCTTGAAAGCTGCTCCCTTTCTCTGTGATAGCACACCCTCTTGAGGAGCTGCCAAGGGATGGCTCAGCAGGAATGATAACATCACCTTTCACCCAGTGAGCAGGCTCAGCACTGTTCAGCACGTCTTCTTGGCCACAGACTTGCCAGCTGGCCAAAAAGCTAGACAGCTGACCTGGGCTGGGGCAAGCCCTCCCTTGCCATGGAGCTATCCCAGACCATTGGAGAGGTGGTAGTCACCAACTTGCCCAGCAGGACACCAGAACCAGGGGGTGAGGGCCGCATCATTGAACAGGAAATAGGACAAAGGCTGCCCCACTCTGGACACAGACCTCAGGGCATCTTACCATCCCAGTTTGCACAGCCATGGAAACACTCACATACCATGGCAGCCACAGGTACTCCTAGGCAGGTATGAACCCTAGAACTGAAGAGGAGGATGGAACTCTGCTCTGGGCAAGGACTGAACCCTCTGCTCAGACCCAATTCACTGAAGAATTTGAGGACCACTCACTGTCTCTCCCTGTAGACACGTGCAGCTGATCGGAGTCCCGCAGAGTTTCAAGGTTGTGCCAAAGAGATAAGGCAAGTGAACTCTTCATTTTCTTTTATAGGGATATGCCCTTGGCACTACCATCAACCTCTCAATGAGAAGAAACTGGTTTAGAAAAGGCCATTCCCAGCCTGGGCAACATAGGGAGACTTCACCTCTATTTAAAAAATAAAAAATTAGCTGAGTGTGGTGGCACATGCTTGTAGTCCCAGCTACTTGGGAGGCTGAGGCAGGAGGATCACTTGAGCCCAGGAGGTCAAGACTGCAGTGAGTCATGATTATGCCACTATGCTCACACCTGCGCAACAGAGCGAGACCCCCATCTCAAAAAAAAAAAAAGGCTATTCCCTAAGTCGAGGGTTATGGTTAAAGCATTCTGGAATCAGCAATAGAAAAGTTTTTTTTTTTTTTTTTTTTTTTTTTGAGACGGAGTCTCGCTCTGTCGCCCAGGCTGGAGTGCAGTGGCCGGATCTCAGCTCACTGCAAGCTCCGCCTCCCGGGTTCACGCCATTCTCCCGCCTCAGCCTCCCGAGTAGCTGGGACTACAGGCGTCCGCCACATCGCCCGGCTAGTTTTTTGTATTTTTTAGTAGAGACGGGGTTTCATCGTGTTAGCCAGGATGGTCTCGATCTCCTGACCTCGTGATCCACCCGTCTCGGCCTCCCAAAGTGCTGGGATTACAGGCTTGAGCCACCGCGCCCGGCCAATAGAAAAGTTTTAGAAGTGATTTTGACTGATGAGTCAAATCAGGTGAGAAATTTCTCAATTGCTCCTCTTGGCTGTGGCTGCTCCTGAGCCAACCTAGAGGCACATATGCCTTTGATGATGTAGAACCCACAGTCCATGTGCATATGCCTCTGTATGTGCAGCATGTGAGAAAAAGAAAGATATATATCATGTGTTTGGGGTTCCAACAGCATCCTGGATCTAGAAGGTCCTTGCTATGACCTGCAAACCTCTGGAAGCTTTAGGAGATGGTAGGGGCATGCCCCCCAGCATCCTCTCTTAGCACTGCAGCTGGGAGACCCAATACAGCAGTGAGCTAGTGCAGCTACACTACATGAGCTAAAAAGAAAAGGAGAGAAACAGCAAGCACTGCTGGCAGCTGGGGGCTCACACAAAGTGCTCTCTGCAGGAGTGTGGTAGACAGAAATGCTTGTTTCGAAAAAGTACAGAGACGTACATATCTGATGTATTTCTGCATGACCTCCTCCAGGGGCCGCAGACCCTCCTTGAGGAATATAGATGGGTTCCACATGGCTGCTCGGGCCACCATCACAGAAGAGGCTGCCGTGGCTTGTCGAAAGTCCTCTATGTCCGAATAGCATTGGATGTGGTCATGAGATCCTCCGCTAAAAAGCAATCGGAGGGTTAGGGGTGTCCCCATCATGGAACCTATCAGCATTTTCAGAAAAAGTCAGCTTTCAGATCTGCCACTGATTAACAATGTGAATTTGCCCAAGTCCCTTCAGCTATCATAGCTTCAGTAAAGTGGATATTAGAATCCATATCCCCTTATGAAGTTAGGAGCACTAACCAAGATAATACATGTAAAGTGCCTGGCACTTAATAGGTAATACAGGAAATTTACTTTCCTTGCCCCTAATCTAAAACAGTGGCTACAGCCAGCCCACATCTGGAGACATGGGTCCATAACTGGGCTATTGGGACTACAGGAAAACCCCCAAGCTGAATGGGCCACTTACATGTTCACTGAGGGCTAAGTCAAAACCCTGGCAAGAGGAATAGACACTGTGGTGATCACGAGAGGAGGGAAGGAGGCCCACTTAGGTCATACTTTCCCCTCCCTGCAGCCTGCTGCTCCAAGGACCCCCTGCTCTGTCTCCATACATTTCATCAGGAGTCAGGCGGCAGCCTCAGTCCAGAAACAGGCATGCAGAGGGGAGGGTCTCAGGTGGCAGCAGAAGGAACAGGGTCTGGGGTCTTGTGGAAAGCCCTGCCCTTTCCAAGCCACCCCTAAAACTTTTCACTCTAGGGAAGGCTGGGCCTGGCTACCACCCAGCCCTTAGCTCTGTGGGACACAGAGTACATGATGAAGAAAGAAGGCTTACTTGGCTATGACAGGAATGGAGAGGGTATCAGCAATGGCTTTGATGACTTCACAGCTGACAGGATGCTGAGGTCGCTCCTCCCGCTTCCTTGGAGATAGAAAGATGGGGCTGAGGGCTGAGCACCAAAAGCCACATCACCACTCACAGGATTACCTCAGCCAAACCTTACTGTCCTCCCCACTGACCCTCAGGAAGGTCAGGTGGCCATGTGGCCATCAAGGACAGGTGGCAGGGGATGGCTCTCCCTGCCCTCTGGAGAAGAACTGTGAGGGGCAGGGGCAGCACAGATCCATGCTGAGTCCAGCTCTTGGAGGCCTGCAGGTAAAGCCTGGCTGCAGGGGGGCGAGGTGGGTGATCCAGCTCCCAAGGTCATGTTGCTTTTCCCTACCTTCCCTTTGCCTCTGCCAGAGATGAGGGACAGGGCCATAAGAGTGCTGCCCCTACTGTCCCAGTCCTGCCCTCTCCAAGGGACTGGGAACAGCTGCTGCTGCTCAGACTGGCCACTCCCACACAGCTGCCAATGCCAAAGCCAAGTTGCAGAGCTGATCCTAGGGAGAGGCACCTGACACAGGGTAGGCCCCGCACCCAGGGCAGGCCACGGACCATGGTTGTCACACCACAGCACAAGCGAGGCAGGACCACAACCTGGGGCCCCTCCTTCCAAGGTCAACTGCAAGTTCTTGTGCATGAGTTTTAGGGCTGCTGATGTGAGGCCTGACCTGAGCTGTGCTCAGAGACAAAGCAGAGAAGACAGTCGACCAGATAGCCCTTGTCCAGCTCTTGTCTGAGTATGTCCCCTCTGTTATACTCTTGTTCTTCTTTTTTTTTTTTTTTTTTTTTTTTGAGACAGTGTTTTGCTCTTGTTGCCCAGGTTGGAGTGCAATGGTGCAACCTCAGCTCAATGCAATCTCCACCTCCTGAGTTCAGGCAATTCTCCTGCCTCAGCCTCCCAAGTAGCTGGGATTACAGGCATGAGCTACCATACCTGGCTAATTTTGTGTATTTTTTAGTAGAAACGGGGTTTCACCATGTTGGTCAGGCTGGTCTTGAACTCCTGACCTCATGTGATCCACCTGCCTTGGCCTCCTAAAGTGCTGGGATTCTAGGCATTAGCCACCACACCTGGGCCCCTCTGCTATACTCTTCTTCAACAAAAGGGTCAAGGGCCACAGGCCTCAGAGGGCCTTGTCAACCTAGCCTCTACCTCTGTCTCCCGACATCTCCAGTAGTCACTTTTAGCCCATCTTAACAACTTTGATGGTCAGAAAGGGCTTCTTCAAACTCACCCAAATCTGTCTTCTGAGTGTTCCCAACTACTGGTAAAAAATAATAGCTTCCTTTATTAAGAGAATACTGGCTGGGCACAGTGGCTCACGCCTGTAATCCCTGCACTTTGGGAGGCCAAGGTGGATGGATCACTTGAGGTCAGGAGTTTGAGACTAGCCTGGCCAACATGGTGAAACCCCATCTCTACTAAAAATTAAAAAAAAAAAAAAAATACCCAGGCATGATGGCAGGCACCTATAATCCCAGCTACTCAAGAGGCTGAGGCAGGAGAATTGCTTGAATCCTGGAGGCGAAGGTTGCAGTGAACTGAGATCGCGCCACTGTACGCCAGCCTGGGCAACAGAGCAAGATTCCATCTCAAAAGAAAAAGAGAAAGAATACTACATGCCACGCACTGTGCCAAGGATTTATATTCACAATCTCATAAAAGCCTTGGGACAACCCTATAAAGTAGAAATTATCTTAATTTCTAAACAAGGAATGTTGTGCTCAGAAAGGTTAAGTGATTTCCCAAGGATATACAGTTATCAAGCAGCAGAGCCGAGATCTCAAACCAGGGAGTCTGAATCCAAAGCCTGCTGCCTTGGGAAGGAGCATATGTGTACAAGTGTGTACTCCTCCCTCCTGGCTTCAACCCAAGCAACTCTGCTTTGCTCTGCTTTGTATGACAGGAGTTCTGGGTTCTCTTCTCTGAAAATGTTGTAAGAGCACAACCAACAACTTGAGCTCTTCCTATAAGACCCCAAGCCCAAAGGAACATCACGCAGAGAAGAGAGGTCCCCCTAGCCCAGGTCTACTGACCTGAGATGCTGTACAAAAGCAGCACATCCTGGACACAGAAAACAAGTGTGACTGTAAGCCAAGGGTGGCCTTCAGAACCTCAGCTCTCAGCAATTACATTAGCTACAGCTAGAAGGATTGTTTAGTCATTGTGACAGCTGGCAGTCCAACAAATGCAGACAAGAGAGGCAGAGACTTTAAAAGAATAAGCTGGTTGTGGTGGCTCATGCCTGTAATCCCCGCACTTTGAGGGGCTGAGGCAGGAGGATCACTTAAGCCCAGGAGTTTGAGACCAGCCTGGGCAACATAAGGAGATCCTGTCACAACAAAAAAATAAAAAATTAGCCAGGTGTGGTGGCATGTGCCTATAGTTTCAGCCACTCAGGAGGCTGAGACGGGAGGATCACTTGAGCCCAGGAGTTTGAGGCTGCAGTGAGCTATGATTGTGCCACTTCACTCCAGCCTGGGTAACAGAACAAGACTGTCTCAAAAAACAACAACAACAATGAAAAACAAATAAACAAAGCAATTTGTCTGGGATTATTCACGGGAGAAGTCATTGCTCAATATAATAGAAAGAAAATAAGGCTGGGTCTAGAGGCTCATGCCTGTAATCACAGCACTTTGGGAGGCCAAGGCGGGTGGATCACCTGAGATCAGGAGTTCGAAACCAGCCCGGCCAATGTGGTGAAACCCCGTCTCTACTAAAAAATATAAAAATTAGCTGGGCATGGTGGAGCATGCCTGTAATCTTAGCTACTCAGGAGGCTGAGGCAGGAGAATCACTTGAACCCGGGAGATGGAGATTGCAGTGAGCCAAGACTGCACTATTGCACTCCAGCCTGGGTGACAGAATGGCAAAGAGATAGAAGGAGAGGAGAAGAGGGGAGAGGAGAGGGGAGGGGAGAGGGGAGGAGATGGGAGGGGAGGAAGGAGAGGAAGGAAAGAGAGAAGGAGGGAAGGAGGGAGGGAGGGAGGGAAGGAAGGAAGGAAGGAAGGAAGGAAGGAAGGAAGGAAGGAAGGAAGGAAGGAAGGAAGGAAGGAAATAAATGAGATTTTCTCATGAGGGTCAGAATTCCACCACGAACTGGCTGCATGGTACGATTTTGAGCAAGTCACTCAATCTCTAGCATTTACACATCCTGATGGTAGAGGTGTTTCTCCTTTCTTAGTCTCTCTGCATCTCTAAACCTCAGTACCTACCCTCAATAGGTGCTCCATAAATGAAACAAAGGCAAATGCAAGCTCATTCAGGGTCTGCCTGCCCTCAAGACTCATAGGATATCAAAGAGCTAGGCAGATATAGGCTGAATATGTAGGAGAGAAATTGTCTGTCACTTGGGATGACAGATCAATTAAGGAAGAATCACTAATATGGGTTAGGACCTCCCTGCCAGTCAGTCACTAGAAATGTGACCACTCACCTCCCATGAACTGCGATGGCAGCAATGCCAGTCCTCTCTATCCGCTTCACAAGGCTCAGAGTATCTTCTAGCTGAGGAAGAGGACCACATAGGATGGTTACTGAAGCCCCAGAAGGAGCAGCTGCTGGCTCCTAAAGTAGGCTTAGCTCCACTCTCTCCTCCAAGCCTAATTTAGCACCTCAAGAATCATTCACAAACCTAAATCCAACATCACCAGAGAGAATGGACCTTCAAATGTAACACACCATCCTTACCGACGGCAGGATGCGAATCTTGCAGGTCACAGGTCTGCGTATCCCTTTAACAAGAGTGCTGAGGATCTGCAGAGAGGAAAACACAAGAGCACCTATGTCTTCTAGAACAAACCACCACACTGCCTGAACTAATTAACTCCGCTACAGGCTGTGCATTCTGGTGGCATGAACAGTTTGTGTATGTGTGAATGCATGCGTGTGTCTGTTACACACATACACAAATAAGCTCCACGAGGCAAGGGACCTGCCTTTGTTCTACACTGGAGCCCCAGCGCCTGCCTAGCACCTAGTGGTATATACATATTTGTCAAATACACTGAATGAATGAGTGAGTGAACGGGTATGCATGCACACCTGTGTGCAACTCACTGAGCCTTTGCCAGGACAAATACCAGAATTATCTGGAGAACTGAAGAAATACAAACTCTTGAATTCCACACTGTTATTTCCTGAATCAGTCTCTAAGGGCAGGGCTTAGGAATGTGTGTTTTCAAAAGGCTCTGCCCAACACACTCCACCCCATCCTCAGTATCATTCTGAGCCTAGCCTTGGTTAAGAACACATGGCTAAAAATAATAATAATAATAATAATAAGTAAGAAAAAAAGAACACATAGCTAACTGGGTGTGGTGGTTCATGCCTGTAATCCCAACACTTTGAGAGGCTGAAGTGGGAAGACTGCTTGAAGCCAGGAGTTCGAGACCACCCTGGGCAACAGAGCAAGACCCTGTTCCCTTTTTGTTTGTTTGTTTGTTTGTTTGTTTTGTTTTGAGACAGGGTCTGGCTCTGTTTCCCAAGCTAGTGTGCAGTGGTGCAATCTTGGCTCACTGCAACCTCTGCCTCCCTAGCTCAAGCAATCCTCCCACCTCAGCCTCCATAGTAGCTGGGACCACCATGTTGGCCAGGCTGGTCTCAAACTCCTGAGCTCAAGCAATCTACCTGCTTCAGCCTCCCAAAGTCCTGGGATTACAGGCTTGAGTCACTGCACCTAGCCCATCCCTGTTGCTATTTTAAAAAAAGGGGGGAGGGGCGTGGGGAGGGGGGAACAGCTTCTTTCCTGGGTGAAGAGAATGTTCCCTGAGTGTTGTTCCAGGACTTGCAGGGTGAGGGAACAGGAAGGCTCTTACGGGCCTGCATTCCTCTTTAGGGGAGTCAGATATACTCCCCTAAACTGGCAAAGAAAAGACAATGTACTCAACATATTTAGAAGTGCTTATCACATGGCAATTGCAAAAGATTTCAAAGAAAGATCAAGACGTCATGCAGGAAAGTGACAGGGAGGTAGCAAGACCAGACCACACAAGAATCAGAGATAGAGAGGTGTAGATGACACTGCATGTCTGTGTCATTGCTATCTTCTTCCCTTATCAGAAATTTCAGGCCAGGCAAGCTGGAGGAAAGATGAACCCAAGAACCCTCTTCCAAGAACTGGATGTCTGTCTAGCAGAGCAGGGGGACATCTAGGTGGCTGCTGCCAGTCTTGATTCTAGACAGCCGGGGGCAGCAGAGAGCCAGGTTGCAAAAATCAGTAGTGGAGGCCTTTCAGGGGACAGGCTGAATGAAGCAGGCCATGCCAGAAGACATCTAACCAAGAGGCTGGATGGACTGACAAACAGGTGGACAGTTCATGAGCAAGACAGGACCTGCTGGCCCAACTGCCAGGGACTGGCAGGAATGAACAGTCCCTAGGTGCTGTCCCAGGAGGCAGACTAGGCCTGAGGTCTTAGGGTCACCCTGGCAGGCCTTAAACAGGCACTGACCTTTTAAGTCGGGGTCTGACAGGTTCATCAAGAAATACAATAAAAATTCTCATTCTAGTCCCATCCTTCATGCTCAAAGCAACATCTCCGAAAGTTTCCATTACAAGTGCTCACTTAGAATCCTCTGACATTTGGTGATTTAAGCAACACCACCTGGTCTGATCCAATTCTCTGTCTTGTAGAGCTTCCTTTTGCTGTATTCTATCCAAGTAGCTCTCAGTACTTTTTTCAGTATTTCTGTGCATTTCATGTGTGTGTTAAGGATTAGGAAGGAAATTAGGTAACCAAAAACCCTAGCCACTTGCAAGGGTCACACTGAGGGGAAATGGCAACTAGAAATTGTCTTCTGGCCAGGGTCTAGCATGAAACTCTCCTGGACACCAACTCTCCAGATCCAAGTCTTTGGGGAGAAAGAACGAGAGACAAGTCCATATTTGAGCAGAGGAACAACACATTTACCTACAAGAAGGCTTGCCTCAATAGACTCACTGGCCAACTGAAGAAAAGTAGGCTCCTTCGCTCCCCTGGTTTCTGGGAGGCAGCAAATGAGCATAGGAAAGCATAGGCCTGGAAAGCAGTGAGACCTGAGTTCAAGTCCTGGCCCTGCCAGTTGTCAGCCATGGCCCAAGTGCAGTGTATACAAGGGGGATGCTCTGTGCATGCTTGTAATCCCAGAACTTTGGGAGGCCAGATCACCTGTGGTTAGGAGTTCCAGGCTAGCCTAAACAACAAGGTGAAACCCTGTACCTACTAATAATACAAAAATTAGCCAGGCATTGTGGTGCACGCCTGTAATCTCAGCTACTCAGAGGCTGAGGCAGGAGAATCTCTTGAACCCAGGAGGTGGAAGTTGCAGTGAGCTGAGATTGCACCACTGCACTCCAGCCTGGGCAACAGAGTGAGACTCCCTCTCAAAATAAATAAATATTTTTAAAAATAAAATAAAACTGAGGTTCTCAATCCAGGGAGCATATCCAGAGTTACCTGGTAGAAGCTTTCTCAAAGAGATTGATATCCCACTCTCCACCCCTACTCACTCCAAGGGTCTGCAGAATTCTCAACGGATAGCATCCTTTATTTATAACTGGGGTAAAATATATATATATAACATGAAATTTGCCATCTTAAACATTTTTTTTTTTTTTTGGAGGCAGAGTTTTGCTCTATTTGCCCAGGTGGAGTGCAATGGCATGATCTTGGCTCACCGCAACCTCTGCCTCCCGGGTTCAAGCGATTCTCCTGCCTTGGCCTCCCGAGTTCAAGCCATTCTCCTGCCTCGGCCTCCCGAGTAGCTGGGATTACAGGCATGCGCCGCCACCCTGGCTAATTTTTTGTATTTTTAGTAGAGATGGGGTTTCTCCATGTTGGTCAGGCTGGTCTTGAACTCCCGACCTCAGGTGATCCACCTGCCTCGGCCTCCCAAAGTGCTGGGATTATAGGCGTGAGCCACTGCGCCCAGCAACATTTTTAAGTGTATAATTCAGTGGCATTAATTACATTCACAATGTTGTACAACCACCAACGTTATGTGTTTCCAAGGTTTTCATAACCCCAAACAAGAATCTTTGAGAAAATTTCTAGAGGTGGTCTTAAGACACTCCCACAGATGGAACCATGGGCCTAAAACACCAAGCCTGGAAAGACCCGCAAAGCTCTCACCCAGGCCACCCAGCTTGCCAGCATGGTCTGGACCCAAACTGAATCCAGCCCCTACACCTAAGCCACATCTGGCTTTGTTGTGGAAGCCTGCAACCTCCCCACCATGGGGCAAACCCCATCTATCAGTCCAACCTGGCCCATCTAAGTACCCAATCAGAGAAGTAGTGGAATGAACTAGCCTTCTGAAGTTGAATGTATCTCTGCTGCCTCATGGATGAAATCTGCCTCATTCAAAGAGGGGCAGTAGAGAGGATAGAGCCAACAGCCTGGGTCTGAGAAAACAGGAGGCTGGAGGATAACAAAAATGCCTGTGTGCTCATGCTGTGAACCACATCCTCCCTGCTGGGGCCCCCTCTCCTAGGTGTGGAAACCAATTTGACATCCAAGATGTCTACTTCCACTCCACCCTGCACCAAAGTGTCTAACCGGAGATTTCCAAGTTGAGGTGCCTATTGACCTGACACTTACAAACTATACCCAGGCACCTGGAACCTGAGATGCTACTGGAGAGGGTGCTGACACTAGGAGTCAGAAGAGACTATGGCTCACAAGCTGGCTCTGCCTGCCACTTATTTACTATGTGATCTTAAGCAAATTATTTTCTTTCTTTGTGCTTTAGTTTATTGTCCTTGATCAAATGGAGATAAATGCCAATCCTGTCTACTTCAAGGGGTTTCAGAATCAAATGAAAGGCACATTATGGCTGCGCACAGTGGCTCACATCTGTAATCCCACCACTTTGGGAGGCTGAGGTGGGCGGATCACCTGAGGTCAGGAGCTCAAGACCAGCATGACCAACATGATGAAACTCCATCTCTATTAAAAAATATAAAAATTAGCCAGGCGTCATGATGGGCACCTGTAATCCCAGCTACTGAGGAGGGTGAGGCAGAAGAATCGCTTGAACCCTGGAGGCAGAGGTTGCAGTGAGCCGAGAGTGTGCCACTGCTCTCCAGCCTGGGTGACAGAGCAAGACTCTGTCTCAAAAAAAAGAAAGGCACATTATACGGGTACACTACAGATAGAGTATCTCTGGCTGCACATGGGGAAAATGAGAAGGCACGTATCCAGCAAGCACAGTGGTCTTCCTATGTCCCAGAGACAGCGGCGCTGGAGGAACATGCAGGGTTGAGCTGCTGATACAGCAACCATGCAGCTCTCATTGGCAATGATGGCAGCTCTCATTGGTGGTGCCTGAGTCCCAAGTTGCTCTAGCCTCCGGGAAGCAGGATGAGGCTTAAAGCCCGGACAGGGAAATAGTGATAGAGAATGAAAAGGAAAACAAAGGAGCTAAAAGGAAAGGGCTGGCAGACTGGGAGAGGAACACAAAGGATACAGATGGTGTGGCAGAGAATGTCATTGCCACATACGCTGGCAGCTCACAATGCCAGGTAGTAAATGCCAACCTGTCCCCAGGGCCTCATTAAGCTAGCCTACAGAATCACCAAAGAAAGGGGAACAGAGAGAGACTAACTTCAGCTTGCCTCCCCTAACCCTGGCCTGGGCTGCTCTCCAAGGGCTGGGGTAGACTCTTTCAGGACACAGGGGACCCACTGCTGCTCTCCTCAAGTGCCCTGGGAGAGGCCAATCCACCCACACACATACAAACACATATGGCCATTGAGCTTGTCCTCACCACAGGTGGCCTGGCCTCTGCTCTCAAGACCTTCCCAGAAGGGAGACAGGCAATACAGAAGAGGTTCTCTATGAGTCCTCAGGACCCCTGGCCCTTTGTTGACATGTCTCTAGCTCTGGGCTTTTTAGGAACTTCAAGGCTGCTGTAGGCTGGCTCAAGGGTTCCCAAACTTGGCTGCATGTCAAAATCACTGGGAAGAATTTTTGGAAATCGCTAGGCCTCAGGGAGAGAAACTGGGTGGACATCAGTAAATCTGGTATTAGTGGAAGGAGGTATTCTAGACAACTCTAGTTTGGAGCTGTGTTTGAGGACCCCTGCTTTCACCTGTGGAGGACTTACCTTCTCAATCTTGTCAGGGTCTGACAGCAGAGCAGCTCCCATTCCCCCCTAAGGAGAAACACACAAAAGGTCTTCTTACAGCTGGGAGACAGCATGGCCCTCTCCATGGGATGGGGTCTGGCAACTGGGCATCACTTCGGCACTCACCTCCAGGGGACCAAGGCCCACTGGCAACTGTCACTTCTTTTAAACAAGTAGGAGGGCAGCAGTATCTGTGCCCACAACATCTGGGACTGAAGTGTGATAATTTTTTTTTTTTTTTTTTTAGACAAGAGTCTCGCTTTGTCACCCAGGCTGGAGTGCAGTAGTGCAATCTCAGCTCACTGCAACCTCCACCTCCCTGGTTCAAGTGATTCTTCTGCCTCAGCCTCCTAAGTAGCCAGGACTGCAGGCATGCACCACCATACCTGGCTAATTTTTTTATATATTTTTAGTAGAGACAGGGTTTCACCATGTTGACCAGGCTGGCCGGACCAGAGTGATGACTTTTAAAATTTATAGGCTGGGCGTGGTGGCTCACACCTATAATCTGAGCACTTTGGGAAGCTGAGTCAGGTGGATCACCTGAGGTCAGGAGTTCGAAACCAGCCTGGCCAACATGGTGAGACCCTGTCTCTACCAAAAATACAAAAATTAGCCGAGCATGGTGGTGTGCGCCTGTAGTCTCAGCTATTCAGGAGGCTGAGGCAGAAGAATTGCTTGAACCCAGGAGGCAGAGGTTGCAGTGAGCCGAGATTGCGCCACTGTACCCCAGCCTGGGTGACAGAGCAAGACCCCATCTCAAACAAAAAAAAGTCATCGTTCTGATCCCCTTGGTAAAACCCACAAATCTATCTAGAAGTGGGCTATATAAAACTTATTTTTCAAGACTGCCCACTCCCTAACCCACGTCTCAGTGTCTTAATAAACTAAATCCCACCATCTTCCAAGCCCTTAAAAAACAATGAATCATCCTTCCTTTGAAATAAGATCAAATGCGCCTTCTTCCTATCATACCCAATGCTTGCATAGGCATCAACACCACCAGCAAAGCTACTAAGGTGCACACAACTTACGAACCTTGTCTAGGCCCTTCTCTTCTGCCAGCAACAATGTCCCAGCCCAGACCCATACCCAACTCTAACAAAAGCCTCAGGAAATGGAAGCCACCAACCCACACAACCGCTTGAATCTTGATAATAGTAATGGTGGTTGCTCTTTATGGTGAGTTACTGGTGATTTTCCCACTCTTTTCTGTACTTGTATATATTTTCCAACTTCTAGACAATGGTATTAATTACTTTAATAATGGAGGACGGGGATCTTTAAAAATCTGAATCCATTAAGAGCGAGATGAAGGCAAAAACAAAAAACAAAAACAATTCCAATAAATATATGCTGCCAGTGTAAAGATTACATACTAATGAATGCTCACAGAAAATGCTCAGAAGGTGTAAGTTCGGTTATTACACTTCAATTTCATGCTTAAGGATGACAAACTGGAATCAGAGAGAACATTAAAACACCACAGACTCGGCCAGGCTGAGCCTGGATTTTAGAGAAAAAGGGGTAGGCTGGAAAATCTACCAAGCCTGGACTACACTAGTCATAAAAGAAACCTTGAAGGCCTAGAGGAAGCCCCAGCACTCCCCCTGGCTCCATCTGTCTTTTTACTCACATATATCCAGCCCTTCCTTATAGAATCACAGGATCTAGAATTCAGTTTCACTGCCCCTTCCACAATAATAGCCTTCTCAACAACGGAATTTCCTTCCTTCCTTCCTTTTTTTTTTTTTTTTTTTTTTTTTTTTGAGGCGGAGTCTTGCTCTGTCGCCCAGGCTGGAGTGCAGTGGCACTATCTCGGCTCACTGCGAGCTCCGCCTCCTGGGTTCACGCCATTCTCCTGCCTCAGCCTCCCGAGTAGCTGGGACTACAGGCGCCCGCCACCACGCCCGGCTAATTTTTTTGTATTTTTAGTAGAGATGGGGTTTCACCGTGTTAGCTAGGATGGTCTCGATCTTCTGACCTCGTGATCCACCCATCTCGGCCTCCCAAAGTGCTGGGATTACAGGCTTGAGCCACCGCGCCCGGCCTCCTTCCTTCCTTTCTATTTAACTTACTTGCTTTTTTGAATAGGTAAAACATTCAAAATTTGAGAGATTCAAATGGGTAACAGGTAAGAAGTCTCCCTTCCTAAAGAATGAGAAACGTTTCAATCTATACTCTTTTTTTTGGATACAGGGTCTCACTCTGTGGCCCAGAGTGGAGTGCAGTGGCATGATCTTGGCTCACTGCGACCTCCGCCTCTGGGGTTCATGTGATTCTCCTGCCTCAGCCTCTCAAGTAGCTGGGACTACAGGTGTGTGCCACCACGCCTGGCTAATTTTTATATTTTTTGGTAGACATGGGGTTTCACCCTTTTGGCCAGGCTGGTCTTGAACTCCTGACCTCAGGTGATCTGCCCACCTCAGCCTCCCAAAGTGCTGGGATTACAGACATGAGCCATCGCACCCAACCTCAATCTATACTTTTTATCTGGCTTCAATTTTTGAACCATGAGAACAAAGCAGATATTCAGCTAGTATGTACATGTGTGGCATACTGATTGGTATCTCTTCTGATTGATCAGTGCCAGTGTTGTGCCAGTTAATTATTTTCAGTAGCACCCCTGTAATGGGAATTTACTACCTATGCACAACCAAATAAAAACTTAAGTTTCCTTCCCCAGAGGAAACCAATGTTACTAGTTTCTTCTGTGTGTCTCCAAAAATCTTCCCTGAATAAACGAATAAATATATATAATCATTCCCTATCCTCCTTATATAAATGGTATATACCACCATACCCTGCCTCCAAATCATTTTAACGCTGCTCCTCACATACTTTAGGAACACAAAGAAGTAATCAGAAAAGAGCAAAACCGCCAGGCGCATTGGCTCACACCTGTAATCCTTACACTGTGGGAGGCCAAGGCAGGTGGATCACGAGGTCAGGTGTTCGAGACCAGCCTGGCCAACATGGCAAAACCCCGTCTCTACTAAAAATACAAAAAAAATTAGTCGGGCATGGTGGCGGGCACCTATAGTCCCAGCTACTCAGGAAGCTGAAGCAGGAGAATGGCGTGAACCCAGGAGACGGAGGTTGCAGTGAGCCGAGATCACACCACTGCACTCCAGCCTGCACGACAAGAGTGAGACTCCATCTCAAAAAAAAAAAAAAAAAGGCCAAAGATACCTAAAGTCCAAGTCCAGCTGATCTTTCACCAACCAAGGTTTTCAATCCTGCACTCCGCTTCTTCTTCATCATCTTCCACTTGACAAACCTTTGGTCAAATCGAGCTACTCACGCCTCCCTGTGTCTACTTCATATTCATCCCCAGGCCCTGCTTATACCACACCCTCTGCTTACAGGGTCCCAAATCTCAGCCCAAGGACCACATTACCCTATAAAACTCCAAGTTTAAAGGCTGCCTTTCCACTCCCTTCTCTGGGCTACCATAGTCTGATTTCTTCTGATATGACAATGGAAACATTTGCACTGTATCTGCCTTTTTTTGTTGTTTTTTTTTTTAAGACAGAATTTTGCTCTTGTCACCCAGGCTGCAGTGCAGTGGCATGATCTCGGCTCACTGCAACCTCTGTCTCCCAGGTTCAAGCGATTCTCATGCCTCAGCCTCCCAAGTAGCTGGGATTACAGGCACACACCACCACGCCCAGCTGATGGCTTGTAATTTTAGTACACATGGGGTTTCACCATGTTGGTCAGGCTGGTCTCAAACTCCTGACCTCAGGTGATCTGCCCGCCTGAGCCTCCCAAAGTGCTGGGATTACAGGCATGAGCCACCAGGCCTGGCCTTTTTTTTTTTTTTTAACTTTTAAGAATTTTTATAAAGACAATGTCTTACTCTGTTGCCCAGGCTCATCTCAATCTCCTGAGATCAAGTAATCCTCCTGCATCAGCCTCCCAAAGTGCTAGGATTACATGTGTGAGCCACCACTCCCAGCCTCCTCTCTTTTTTTTAAATGTATGTCTCAGTTGTTTTCCCTTTTTTTTTTTTTTTTCAATTTTATAACTTTATTTGATGTATTTGACGATCAGCGATTAGTTCTCATCCACAATGACTGTCTGCAGATTTTTGAAAGTGGTAACAGGTACATAGGTAACCAAAGTATAGAGCTTATTTGGTGAATCTTCATCCTTATTACGTTTTCTGGACAGCCGCACACGGATTCGGTATGGGACATTCCTTATTCCTTTGGCCCAGACAGCTTTGTTGAGTCTGGTATCAATGCGCACATCTGGAGTTCCCATCTCCTTCATGGCAAATTTCCGAATCTCTTTGAGGGCCTGAGGGGCACGCTTCTTGAAGCCCACTCCATGGATGCGCTTGTGAATGTTGATGGTGTATTCTCGGGTCACCACCTCGTTGATGGCAGAACGGCCCTTTTTCTTCTCGCCACCCTTCTTTGCAGGAGCCATTCTGCAGGGTCCAAGTTGGAAAGCCCTTTTTTTCTTTATAATCCTTCTCTGGGCTTTCTGGGATATGTGTCTCAGTTTTATTCATGAAAAGACACAGCCTAGGCCGGGCGCGGTGGCTCAAGCCTGTAATCTCAGCACTTTGGGAGGCCGAGACGGGCGGATCACGAGGTCAGGAGATCGAGACCATCCTGGCTAACACGGTGAAACCCCGTCTCTACTAAAAAATTCAAAAAAAAAAACTAGCCGGGCGAGGTGGCGGACGCCTGTAGTCCCAGCTACTCGGGAGGCTGAGGCAGGAGAATGGCGGGAACCCAGGAGGCGGAGCTTGCAGTGAGCTGAGATCCGGCCACTGCACTCCAGCCTGGGTGACAGAGCGAGATTCCGTTTCAAAAAAAAAAAAAAAAAAGAAAAGACACAGCCTTGTCCACTTTATTTTTCTCTGTACATTTGCATTGTTTTATTACTTGGGCATGAGTTCTCTCTCTCTATATGTATACACACACACACATAATTATATATATTTATATATGTATTACTATATGTGGAATACATATATATCATATGTAATATAATATACCTATATATTATGTAATATATAAATAATATATAACATATACTATATATTATTTATATATAATATATAATAAAATATATATAATTATGAATCTATATATGTGTGTGGGTGATATATGAGTGTGTGTGTATATGTATAAACCATTTGAGGGTAAGTTACATATATCATAGCCCCTTACTCCTAAATATTTCAGTATGTATTCTCTAAGAATAGGGATAGTCTGTTACATAACCACAGAAGAGTCATCTTCATAAGTTTACATTGATACAGCATATTTAGCTAATATACTATGGTCCCTATTCTAATTTTGTCAGTTCATCTAACAATATCTTTTTGAGCATTTCCCCATCTAGTACAGAATCCAATCCAGAGTTAGGTACTATACTTAATTATGTCTTGTTAGCCTCTTAATCTGCATCCTACATTTACATGTACATGTACATCCTATATTGTACATTTACATCCTACAATATACATCCCACATTAGGAGTATAAAGAAACCAGTTTACCTTGGTGGAATATTCTTTTGGACAGCCCATGTTGACGTCAATGCCAGCCACATCATTTTCTCTGGAAAAGGATGAAGGAGTAAAGGTAATAAATATTGAATTAGAGCAAAGAAGGTAAAATTAAAGGCATGGATGAGCCTGTGCTCATGAACCTCTTACCCTGTCCCTGACCCTATGAAACACACCAACCCCCAATGACAGAAGCTGAAAAATGGGAAAGAAATCCATCCCTAAAATGTGCACCTGCCTCATCTGAGCAGAAATCCAGAGGAAAGATATAACGTGTGCACACATTTACAAAGGGCTAGACGCAGAGGACTTTGCTACTTTGGAGTTGTATCAGATAACTCAGATGGGCACACTGAACTTGGCTGAAATAGTAAAAGTGATTTGTCAATGCAGAAAAGTGACATGAGCCTAAGAGCCCTTTCCCAGACGACAGCTTCTGGTGGAAGTTCTAGCACTGTCTGGTATGTATTAGGTTGGTGCAAAAGTAATTGTGATTTTTCCACTGAAAGTAATGGCAAAAACCGCAATTACTTTTGCATCAACCTAAATATTAATACATGTTAATAGTCCGTGATCAGCAGCAATAACTGCCTGAGTTCCCTCTCACTCTCTTTGTAATGATAACAATAGCTAACACTTACTAAGATCTCATTATGTACCACATGCTGCAAAGACATTTACATACATTACTTCATTTACCTTTCCCTATGTCAGAGGTTGGTAGCACTATTTTATAGGTGAGAAAACTAGGTTCTCATTAAGGTTAAGTAACTTATCTCAGGTCACACAGTTAACAAGTAGCAAAATCAGAATTCCAAACCAGATCTGTCTTAACTTCAAAACCTATCACAAACTATAGCGCACTCTCCTGCCTTTGTTTTTGTTTTTGAGACAGGGTCTCACTCTGTTCCCCAGGCTGGAGTCCAGTGGCGCAATGGAGGCTCACTGCAGCCTGGGCCCAAGTGATCCTTGCACGTCAGCCTTCCAAGTAGCTGGGACCACTGGCATGCACCACCTTTTCTGTAGAGATGAGGTCTGCCTGTGTTCCCCAGGCTTCCTGTCTTTGTTAATTCAGGAAGCAATATGTCTTACCTATACTTTGATACTTAAAGCTTTAGGACTTATAGTCATTGGGGTCCCTGGAAAGGGAGTTTCATGAATAACTACAAAAAAACAGCTCCCCACAATACGCATAGAGGATCTCTGAGATCTAGGCCACTGAGGGTACACATGAGTCCCAGGCCAGCCCTTGGATGCCACAAACAGAAGGAAACCAGACACTCTTTTTTTTTTTTTAAGACGGAGTCTTGCTCTGTCACCAGGCTGGAGTGCAGTGGTGCAATCTCAGCTCGCTGCAACCTCTGCCTCCCGGGTTCAAGAGATTCTCCTGCCTCAGCCTCGTGAGCAGCTGGGACTACAGGTGTGTACCACCACACCCGGCTAATTTTTGTAATTTTAGTAGAGACAGGGTTTCACCATGTTGGCCAGGATGGTCTCGATCTCTTGACCTCATGATCCACCTGCCTCGGCCTCCCAAAGTGCTGGGATTACAGGCGTGAGTCACCGTGCCTGGCTGGAAACCAGACACTATTAACCTGGAAACAGAAGGTAATGGGCTAGGAGGCAGAAGGGTGGGTCAACTCCAAAGTCACCAGGACATTAAACCCTCACAGCTCAAAGGAGAGGCAAAGGCAGTGCTAAAGACGGAGGAAGAACTTACACAAGCCTGGCCACAGCAAGGGCTCGCTCTGCGTCTGAAGTCCCCTGGGAACACAAGAGGCTGCATCAACCACTGCCCTGATACAGATACACATGCACTGACAAACACACCCATGCAGCACACACATACACACACACACCCCACACACCAATAACAGAGTGAGGCTGGCTTTCTCTTAAACAGCCAGCCCACTAGACTAGCTTGCTGCCAGCAGAAAAAGGTGGACTTGGAAGGTTGAGAAAATGTTATCAATACTATGATGACACCCAAACATATAAAAAACTTGAAAACATTTTATAGTGACCATTCAAACACTCACCATTTAGATTCTACAATTAACATTTTGCTAGATTTGCTTTATCACATGGTTACCCATTGTTATCAATTTTTTAGAAACCTAAACATCATTCAGGATGCTTCTGAAAAAGTACCAAGAAATTCCCAAAGTGACAGAAGAGCACCATAGAGTCATCACAACTCAAATACAAATCTTAACTACTCTTGAAAAACCCTAATTTCTTTCTATGAGAAATATATATACACTACATAAAAACAAAGACTATGATCTGAGTAATCAATGCTAGGGATTAAAACAATAGAGAAATCATGCCAAACAGACAATTCCTACAAGTAAGTAAATTAAATTTGAGACTAGAGGCATACAAGACTGTGATAGTTTGATTTCCATAAACCGTCTCCAATAGTGTAATTACTCATGACTGGCTCTTTGGAAAACATTAAAGCGGATCTTCAGGAAGCCATCGTTGTGCAATGTACCCCAGGTATTCAACACTGGCCTGGCACAGGGCATAAGTTGGGAAATCCCAGGGGATGGTGAGACTCAGGAGGGTATGCATTAATGGCGTCTCTCACCATCTGGAAGACCACCCTGTTCTGCTCTCTTTCACAGGTGCGGAAGACAACTCGATCATCAGGGGCGACAAAGTCCACTGTGCTGAGCACCTCTGCAAAAAAACACAAACACATAGCGTCACTCAATGAAGATGCAAATTCAACCCTAGCCTAAGTCCTGGAAGAAAACACGGCCAGAGTATAAGTTTGGAGGGGAAAGAGATCCTAAATGTATACCATTCTTACCAAAAATAACTATGCACATGGGAGGCTTCTGTGATGATGAGAATGGTCTATTTCCTGACCTGGGTGATGGTTGTTCGTTTTGCAATTACTTGTTCAACTGCATGTTTGTGTTTAATGCACTTTTTCTGAATGGTGGTTAACATTTTGCTGTGTTTAAAATGTTAAAACAGCGCCGGGTATGATGGCTCACACCTGTAATCCCAGCACTTTGGGAGCCCGAGGCAGGCGGATCATGAGGTCAAGAGTTCGAGACCAGCCTGGCCAACATGGTGAAACCCCGTCTCTACTAAGAATACAAAAATAAGCCGGACATGGTAGGGCGTGCCTGTAATCCCAGCTACTCGGAAGGCTAAGGCAGGAGAATCTTGAACCCGGGAGGCAGAGGCTGCAGTGAGCCAAGATTGCGCCATTGCACTCCAGCCTGGGGGACAGAGCAAGACTCCGTCTTGGGGGAAAAAAAAAGTTGAAACAAAATGTACATACGTAGCAGTAGCTCACGCCTGTAATCCCAGCACTTTGGGAGGCCAAGGCAGGTGAATCACGTGAGGTTAGGAGTTCAAGACCAGCCTAGCCAACATGGCAAAACCCCATCTCTACTAAAAATACAAAAAATTACTGGGTATGGTGGAGGGTGCCTGTAATACCAGCTACTCAAGAGGCTGAGGCAGGAGAATCGCTTGAACCTGGGAGGCAGAGGTTGCAGTGAGCTGAGATTGTGCCACTGCACTCCAGCCTGAGCAACAGAGGGAAGCTCTGTCTCAAAAAAAAAAAGTTTGTCTGTTTCAGTTTTGGCCCAAATTTTCCCAGAAAACATCACTCTGAAGTTCAGCAAATTTACTATTTACTTACAGTGAGACAGGTGCTGCGAGTGGAAGGTTACTATATAACAATCAGTCTCCTATACTATTCATAGTTGCATATTTGCAAATGTGCCTATTTGCTAACATTTATTCGTGACCCCAAAATCAATACTTGTGATGTTTTCATGGTCATCCAACGACAGAAACAGAGTGGTGAAAGTTTTGAGTTGCCCGTTGTGCATGTTCCCAGCTGAGGTCAAACAAGGTGATGCTCTGTCTTCTCCCTTCAGCTCTCATACTGTCAACAAGTATCCCTTTTGTGGTATATTTCATGCCACATTTCTGCATGTTTATGCTTTTTGTTGGTGATCTCACTGTTTAAAATGGTCCCAAGTGGCCAGGTGCGGTGGCTCACACCTGTAATCCCAGCACTTTGGGAGGCCAAGGCAGGTGGGTTACCTGAGGTCAGGGAGTTCGAAACCACCCTGGGCAACATGGTGAAACTCAGTCTCTACTGAAACACACACAAAAAAAATTAGCTGGGTGTGGTGGTGCATACCTGTAGTCCCAATTACTTGGAAGGCTGAGGCACAAGTATCTCTTGAGCTGGGAAGGCGGAGCTGCAGTGAGCCAAGATCGCACCACTGCACTCTAGTTTGGACTAGAGAGTGAGACTGCATCTCAAAAAAAATAAAATAAAATGGTCCCAACCATACTGTTGAAATGCTGTCTAATGTTCCTAAGCACAAGAAGACTGTCATGGGCCTTACGGAGAAAATATACATCTTGAATAAGCTTTGTTTAGGCCTGAAATTATAGCACAATTACCCATGTTAGGGAGTTCAATGTTAGCGAATCAATGGTATATACTAAATAATATGCCTTTAAACAGAAACACGTGGCTGGTGTGATGACTCAGTCCTGTAATCCCAGTATTTTGGGAGGCTGAGGCAGGGGGATCACTTGAGGCCAGGAGTTTGAGACCAGCTGGGGAACACAGCAAGAACCCCATCTCTACAAAAAATTTAAAAATTGGCTGGGCATGAAGGTGTGCACCTTAAGTCCTAGCTACTTGGAAGGCTGAGGCAGGATGATCATTTGAGCCCAGGAGTTTGAGGCTGCGGTGATCTATGCTCACACCACTACACTCCAGCCAGGGCAATAGAGTGAGACCTGGTCACAAAAAAGAAACCAAACAAAAACAAAGAAACATATATAAAAGTTATGGACTGACGAGTTGATGAAAGTATGACCAGAGGTTTGCACAAACCTAAACCTTTGTTTCCCCCAGGGTCAGTGGTTCAGCATCTGCTCATCTGATGTTTAAAGCAACTTTACAGAAACAACAACTGTGCATAATGAGAAGCAACTGTATTTTATCTGTCAGCTTCCTAAAGAAGCTCCACAAATAGTTGCGACCATTATTACCTTTCAAAGATCACTAGACATGAAAAAGACTGAACATGGCAGATGGGAGAATATGCCTACCTCAAAGGCTGTCTTTAGAAATAAATGAGATCTTTAACGCACTTAAAGCATTTCCATACATGGACGGTGTTATTATCATCCCAGCACTAAACAGATGAGAAGGTTTTTAGGGTGGGGTAAAGGCGTGACATGTTGAGAGAGGTAATCAAAGTGATCACTGACAGAGACAGCTCATGACTGGCAGTAAGATGTGTGAGAGAAGAACCACAAAATCTTTGTGTGTTTATAATGCAACTCTGTTTATAACAGCAAAACACTGGGAACCCCTGTTAAGGCTCTGGTAAAATCAATTCTGACATAGTTGCCCCTAGGTACTGACATGGGCAAATGCCCTAGTAGATAAGCAAATGGCAAAACAACATGTGTTATATGATCTCATGGGGTGGAGAGATAGATGATATAGATATAGATACAGATACATTTTTTCTTTGACCTAGAAGAGGGATAAACATGTCATATTTTGTACACACACATTATTTACTATATGTATAGAAAAACATACATTATTTCTCTTTCTGATTACCTCTTTAGGTAGAGGATTATGGAGGATTTTCATTTTCTAGGTTATACAGATCTGTAATATTGAATTTTTTATCACATAGAAAAAAATATATACATTTAAAACAATTCAGCCAGGTGTGGCAGCTCACACCTGTAATCCCAGCACTTTGGGAGGCCAAGGCAGGCGGATCATGAGGTCAGGAGTTCAAGACCAGCCTGGCCACCATGGTGAAACCCCTTCTCTGATAAAAATACAAAAATTAGCTGGGTGTGGTGGCATGCCCCTGTAATCCCAGCAACTTGGGAGGCTGAGGCAGGAGAATTGCTTGAACCTGGGAGGCAGAGGTTGCAGTGAACCAAGACTGTGCCATTGCACTCCAGCCTAGGCAATAGAGGGAGATCCCATCTCAAAAAAAAAAAAAAAAAAGGATTTCACGAGCATATACATATGTATCAAAAACCTCAAGGAATATACCACAACTCTAATCAAAACAGAATCAGCCTCATCAATAAAGTATCAGCAAAACTACAATTCATCACAATCATATTTGCACAGAGCACAGGGTGTCCACAGCACTTACATGTTCCTTATCTTATTTGGTCCTCACTCCAACCCTATGATTTCGGTAAAGCGAAGACTATGATTTCATTTTACAGATAAAGTAACTGAGGCAGACAGAGGTCATATGGCCTGCCCAAGGTCACACACCTAGCAAGTGGCCAAGCCAGGGCCAATGCTAAAGCCATCCTGACTCCAAAGTTCCTAGAGTTCCTCCTATGCTATGATACATGGTGATTTCTATGCCAGCAAGCCTGTGAGTGAAAGGCACTCTTAGCCCATTTCACATCAGGCTTTTTGTCATGGCCTCTGGAGATCAGTGACTGCTCTCAAGGGAGCATCTGATCTACAAAATTACTCAATGAAGCCAGGCAAGACACTTTCACCCCAGGCAAGGGCAGTGGCAGTGCTGCTTGAGCCCAGCAGGGCACATGCATAAGTCTGAAGCCAGATCTGTACTCACCATTGACAACTCTCTTGCACTGAATCATCTTGAGGTCGATCAGCTCCTGCAGAGGAATCAGAGGACACTTGTCAGTCCTGAACATGTAGGCTCTGGGCATGAAGGATTTTCATCACACACCCAATGAGGATCGCTTGGCCAGTCGCCCTACTACCAACAATAAACCACAGCTTTTGGGACATGTAGTGCTATCCTCCCCACCCAAGTATGGCAAGCAGGAGCCAGAGTGAGCTACCCTAAATTAGCTGCTCTTCCCAGGAAACTTGGAGATGTTTGGAGCCTAGAATGAATGAACCACTTAGCCAGAAAGACGATAATCATCCAGGATGTAGTCACCTGGAAATTTTTCTCACCTACTGGTCTCAGCAGAAGTTCACCCCATCAAAGAATATCCCACCTATCCCTAAGCAAAGGGCAGGCATTGAAGGGCTCCTAAGAAACATCCAAGAACAAAACTGGAACCAGTGAATAGAAGCAAAGGGAGGAAGATCTGAGATGAACACAGGAAAGAAAAGTCTAAAACCTCTATCCAACATGGGTCACACTATGTGGAAATGAAAAAGGTGAGGGGCCGGGCGCGGTGGCTCAAGCCTGTAATCCCAGCACTTTGGGAGGCCGAGACGGGCGGATCACGAGGTCAGGAGATCGAGACCATCCTGGCTAACACGGTGAAACCCCGTCTCTACTAAAAAATACAAAAAAACTAGCTGGGCGTGGTGGCGGGCGCCTGTAGTCCCAGCTACTCGGGAGGCTGAGGCAGGAGAATGGCCTGAATCCAGGAGGCGGAGCTTGCAGTGAGCTGAGATCTGGCCACTGCACTCCAGCCTGGGCGACAGAGCAAGACTCCGTCTCAAAAAAAAAAAAAAAGAAAAGAAAAAGGTGAGGTGCTCAACTCTGGAGATACTCAAACAGATTCACGAAAGAAAGAAAAAGGGGGGTTTCTTCAAAATCACATCACAAAAATGGAGGAAAATCTCCTATCTGCTGGAGGACTGAGATTCTCTAATTCTTAATTGGAGACAAGACTGTTCTGCTTTGCTCCATCATAATCTCAGCACACACCTGTCACACTGCCCAGAAGTTCATGGCCATGGATTCTGGGGGTCCAGAAAAGAAAAGAAGAGGCACTCACTCCTAGTACTAACCCCCACGCTGACTCCCTGTGAGCCCCAGCAGGTCACAACCCCAGCCAGGTGGGCACAATGACCTCCTACTCACTCATGGGAGTACCTAGGGACAATGGCGAAAGAATCCCCATAGTATCCATGGGACTTACCCCAGCATACCCACTATCAGGTTAAGAAATGCTCTAGGTGTTTCTGTGGCCATTCTCTCCATGCAGTATTCAGGTCATCGAATATCTGATGCCCACTAGGCCTGAACAAACAAATCACCACAACCAAGCAGTTCGGACATGGTTGACATCCAACCCCCAAAAATCAGTGTGGCATCCCAAGGGATGGGCAGAGCCCAACTCAGAGCCCTGGTAGCCAGTGATCCTAGTTGCAGGGACAGGCAACAAGGCAAGTGGACAAGTAGGAAGAACTGAATGGCCTGTGCTTATAAAAATAAATTCAGTAGCCAAACTGAGCTTTGGTAGGGAGTGGAACAGGAAAAAGTAAGACATGTATCACATCAAAGATTGGGAAGTTTATTGGTTCCAAGTATTTACAGAAATCTCTGTCCAAACATTAGCTAACAAATAAGCTAACCCAGGAGAACTTTATAGGCCACACATGGCAAAGAACACAGGCCTTACAAAATTAGTTCAGAATAGTCACTAAGCAAACAAACAACAACAAACTCTGGCCAGACATGATGGCTCACGTCTGTAATCCCTACGCTTTAGAAAACTGAAGCAGGAGGATTGCTTGAGCTCAGGAGTTCAAGACCAGCCTGGGCAACAAAGTGAGACCTTGTCTCTACAAAAAATTTTTAAAACAGCTGGGCGTGGTGGCATGTGCCTGTGGTCCCAGCAACATGGGATGCTGAGGCAGGAGAATCGCTTAAGCCCAGATGGTCAAGGTTGCAGTGAGCTGTCATTGTGCCACTGCATACTACCCTGGCCAACAGAGAGACACCTGTCTTTTTTTTTTTTTTTTTTTTTGAGACAGAGTCTCGCTCTGTCGCCCGGGCTAGAGTGCAGTGGCCGGATCTCAGCTCACTGCAAGCTCCGCCTCCCGGGTTTACGCCATTCTCCTGCCTCAGCCTCCTGAGTAGCTGGGACTACAGGTGCCCGCCACCTCGCCTGGCTAGTTTTTTGTTATTTTTTTTAGTAGAGACCGTGTTAGCCAGGATGGTCTCGATCTTCTGACCTCGTGATCCTCCCGTCTCGGCCTCCCAAAGTACTGGGATTACAGGCTTAAGCCACCACGCCTGGCCGACAACACCTGTCTTCAAAAAAAAACACACTGGGCACGGTGGCTCATGTCTAATCCCAGCACTCTGGGAGGCCGAGGCAGGCAGCTCACTTGAGGTCAGGAGTTCAAGACCACCCTGGCCAACATGGTGAAAACCCATCTCTACTAAAATATGAAAATTAGCTGGCCATGGTAGTAATCCCAGCTACTCAGGAGGCTGAGGCAGGAGAATTGCTTGAACCTGGGAGGCAGAGGTTGCAGTGAGCTGAGATCGCGCCACTGCACTCCAGCCTGGGCGACAGAGCAAGACTCCATCTCGCGAAAAAACAACAACAACAACAACAACAAAAATACTTTGTTATTTGAGAATATCTACAAAACTGACAAACTCTTAGCTAGACTACCAGTGGAAAAAAAGAGAGGAGACTCAAATTATTAAAATCAGAATGAGAGAGGCCAGGCTCGGTGGCTCACGCCTGTAATCCCATCACTTTGGGAGGCTGAGGTGGGCGGATCATGAGGTCAGGAGTTCAAGGCCAGCCTGGCCAACATGGTGAAACCCCATCTCTACTAAAAATACAAAAATTAGCTGGGTGTGGTGGCATGTGCCTGTAATCCCAGCTACTTGGGAGGCTAAGGCAGGAGAATCGCTTGAACCCAGGAGGCGGAGGTTGTAGTGAGCCGAGATGGCGCCACTGCACTCCAGCCTGGCAACAGAGCAAGACCCCATCTCAAAAAAAATGAATAAATAAAATCAGAATGAGAGAGAAAACATTACTTCTGATCTTAAAGACATAAAAAGGATTATAAGGAAATAATATAAACCATTGTATGCCAAAAAATTAGATAACCTACATGAAATGGACACACACTACTGAATCTGACTGAAGAAATAAAAAATGGGAACAGACCTAAAACAAGAAATTAAGGCTGGGCACAGTTGGCTTATGCCAACAAAAATTAGCCGAGCGTGGTGGCACGGGCCTGTAATCCCAGCTACTAGGGAGGCTGAGACAGCAGAATTGCTTGAACCCGGGAGGCGGAGGCTACAGTGAGCTGAAATTATGCCACTGCACTCCAGCCTGGGCAACAGAGGGAGACTCCGTTTCAAAAAAAAAAAAAAAATGAATGAAATCATGTACTTTACAGCAATATAGATGCAGCTGGCGACCATTATCCTAAGCAAATTAATACAGAAACAAACCCAAATAACATATGTTCTCACTTATAAGCGGGAGCTAAGCATTGGGTACACACGAACATAAAGATGGGAACAACAGATACTGGAGACTTCGGAAGGCAGGAAGCAGAGAGGGGGCAAGCGATGAAAAACATCCTATTGGGTATTATGTTCACTATCTGGGTGACAGGATCAATAGAAGCCCAAAGCTCCAGCATCACACAAGGTGCCCTTGTAACAAGTCCTCATATACACCCCTGAATCTAAAATTTTGAAAATAAGAGTAAATTTTAAAATTAAAAAGTTTCCCAGGCCAGGGACTGTGGCTCACACCTGTAATCCTAGCACTTCAGGAGGCCAAGGAGGGCGGATCACCTGAGGTCAGGAGTTCAAGACCAGCCTGGCCAACATGATGAAACCCCGTCTCTACTAAAAATACAAAAATCAGCCAGGTGTGGTGGTGGGCACCTGTAATCCCAGCTACTCAGGAGGCTGAGGCAGGAAAATCACGTGAACTTGGGAGGCGGAGGTTGCAGTAAGACAAGATCACACCACTGAACTCCCGCCTGCTGGGCAACAAAGTGAGACTCCATTTCAAAAAAATTTTTTAAAATAAAGTTTCCCACAAAGAAAAGCTCAGGACCAAATGCCTTACTGGTAAATTCTACCAAATGATTAAAGGACCAATCCTTCACAAACTCTTCTAAATAACAGAAAAAGAGGTAACACTTTCTTTTTTTTGAAACAGAGTCTCACTCTGTCACCCAGGCTGGGGTGCAGTGGCTCAATCTCAGCTCACTGCAATCTCTGCCTCCCAGAATCAAAAAATTCTCCTGCCTCAGCCTCCGAAGTATCTGGGATTACAGGTGTGCACTACCACGCCCAGCTAATCTTTTCTTGTATTTTTAGTACAGTCAGGGTTTCACCACGTTGGCCAGGCTGTTCTCGAATTCCTGACCTCGTGATCCACCCACCTTCGCCTCCCAAAGTGCTGGAATTACGGGTGTGAGCCACTGCACCCAGCTGACACTTTCAAACTCATTAATTGAGGCCAACATTTCCCTGGTACCAAAACCAAAGGCATCACAAGAAAAGAAATATAATAATCAATATTTCTCATAAAGACCAAAAACAAAAAATCCATAACAAAATACTAGCAAGCCAAGTCCAGCAACACATAAAAAGATTCTATACCATGACCAAGTAGGATTTACCCCTGGTTGGTGTAAAACCCAAAAATCAACTGATATAATGCACCATATCAATGGAATAAAAAGCAAAAACCACATGATCTTCTCAATAAACACAAAAATTTTCTGACAAAATCCAACACCCTTTCATGATAAAAACACTCAACAAACTAGGAATAGAAAAAAACTTTCTTTACTTGCTAAAGGCATCTATGAAAAACCCACAACTAACAACATATTAAATGATGAAAAACAAAGCTTTCCCCCTAAGAACAGGAACTAAACAAGTATATCTACTCTTGTCACTTATAATCTA